CTTGCAAATAGATTATAACAGATTTTTTACTTAGCATCAGCAGCAGTTGACCCCTTTCGAAAATTCCTAGGTTTTGCACTTTTTTTAACTTTGAAATATAGGCTTTTCAGATCGTGTTATTCCTTATAGCGATGTGCCTTATTTGTACAGTACTGTGTGGGATCTGGGAATGGGCCACTGGGCGCCATTTCACTATGTATTTAAGCTGGGATCGCGCAATCGTACCAGATGCGGAGCAAAAATCATCTGAACAAATTGCCATAATATCATTCTTCATGTTCTTCTCATATCTCATTTTGCTCAACACTGTCGTGCCTATTTCACTTTATGTTAGGTATGCATCAAATCTGTTCGATCGTTGGTTACAATTTCACTTTCAGCAATTCCGCTTTCTTATTTGCTTGTTATCGGCATAGTTGCATCGTAAGGCAGCCGCTGTTGTCTTTTTCCTGTCAGGTTCAGAAACCAAAGCGTAGTTCCTGCAGCTCATCATCATCTCACACAGCTGCAATCTGCTGCAAATTATGAGAAAAGGATTTTTTTTAACTTGTAAAAAATTTCTTAAACGAGGCGAAGGGCTTCGTGCTTTAATCAGTTTTATAGTGAAGAATGCGAATGCACGCCTAACCTTTCAAAGTGATTCTATGAATACGTATTTGCATTACAGTGTTGAGATCATACGATTTGTTCATTCGATGTGGATCAACTTCGACACCGAAATGTATTACAAAAAAGTAAGCATACTTTTCAAGAGATGAGATTAGTCTTTCAGAATCTAATAATTAGCGATGTGCACTGCCGGCGCTGTCATGCATTTTTGTGTGTTTGTGTGCAAAAGCAACTTCGTTAACACGGAGATAAGCCGTCGGCTGGACCGTGTCAGTTACAGCTGTGTCAGTTATATTACAGTGTCAGTTACAGCTTTCTAGCCTGCTCGACTTTCTAGCAAGAAGCATGTTGACAGTTTTGCATTTTGAATGTTTGATGTGTTTGGACGTGAGGTGTACGTGAAACTTCATTCTACGTTTGATGGTCCACACCTGAACAGCAAACATTATAAAAGTGCAGTTTTCTGATGGGTCCGAGACGAGTTGACGACAACGCAGAGTAGTAGACGCTGAGCAGACGAAGTGACGGGAGTGAATAGGTAGATTTATCCACCACACGAATAACCACGAACGAACATCAAACCAACAAAGCAGGGGTTATTTATACAGGTTTATACAGGGAGTAGGGCACAATAAAAAACATTAAACGTCGCAACCCGATCTATAAAGAACATTGTAGAAC